TTTCCCTTTAAATATCTCATGTTCTTTTTTTCTCACCTTTGTTTTGATTTGAAATTACTGTTTGCAATTTGGGGTGGGGGATGTCTATTAAATAAGGCCTTCAGTCTTATGACTGCTTTTGTATTAGTTTTCAGTCAACTAAGATCTCATGTAAACTAATTATGATAATAACTAATCAGAAATAAATAAAAGATTCGGTAGTCATATTTTGTCAGTTTTATAATAGCAAATAAACATCGATCACTGTTTTCAGTACTTGACATTGTCATTGAAGATTGATAATGGAGTGAAGTTTCAGTGACAAAGAATCCTCAACATCCTGCATCACTAGAGAAGTAGAACATGTCAAAAGGATTTGTTCAATTCTTAAATAGATATTTATGTGTCATTAAAGAGTCTCATTGTTTTTAACTTCGAGTTGATTCATTAGACATTATTTGAAAGGAATCTTTAAATAGAAAGTATTTTTCTCTGTTCTACATAGATTTGGAATTGGAATCTTTTAAAAAGATAAGGTGAATTTTTTTCATATTTTTAAAATTCATACATATGGAATGATTACTACAATCCAAGTAATTAACATATCCATCACCTCATTTAGTTACCTTTTGTGTGTGTGTGTGTGCGTGTGTGTGTGTAGTGAAAACACTTAAGATTTACTTAAAGCAAATTTTAAATATACAATGCATTATTATTAACTGTACTCACCATTCTGCACATTAGGTCTCCAGAATTTATTCATCTTATAACTCTAAATTTAGATCTGCTTTTAAGGTCTAATAATGGTGAATATCAACATGAAAAAATGTCCTATGTGGTTATAACTCTGTCCTCTCCTACCAGAGTCACCCCAAATAAATACAATTTCAAGACAAATACTTAATTTGCCCTTTTACAGACTGTTGCTACTAAGTACTTTCTATATTGAAATTTGGGGAACTGCTATTTTCTTGTTTCCTTTAGATGTCTATTAAATGAACTTTGAAATTTTCTCCGGTAACATTCAAAAGAAAATGTGATTTACCTGCATTAAAATACGCAGCCCTTGAATTTTGGTGAATTTTCAATTTCATCAGAATAAATATGGCACTCCACCATGAGACTGAAACATCAGCTTGAGGTTGCAATGGTACCTTGTAGGATTTACTCCTTTATCTTCTGAACCTGTGCCATCTAGGAAAGGCCTAACCAAAGCTCTAGAGTCTGTTCAGTAGCAAAGAAAGATAAGCCAGTAATATCCCACAATTGCAATAACTCAGCTTCTTATAAAATGTAAATTTATTTCTGAATATAATGATAAAGAATATGGGTTTGTATTTTGTATACCTTTGTGGGTTTTTAAATTTCATTTTTCTAGTAATTTACTTTCATTGTACTTTACAAAAGTATTGGTCTGTGATAGATTAGAAATAAGAAAAAAAAACTTTCTTTCACATAGATGGTTTGAAAAGCACTGAACTCTGTTCACGTAGCATATTTACACAATGGAGTATGTCGTGATTATGAAAAAAAAAAGATAGCTGTTATCTTTATATTTCTATGGAATGATCTCCAGGATATATTGTTATATATATTTTAAAAGATAAAAATGTGTAAAGTATGCTACCATTTATCGAAGGGGGAAGATGTGAATATCAATACATATTTACTTATATAAAGCAAAACAATGGCAAATTAAAGTATATTTTTGATAATAACATGTGAATAAGGGAGAGAATAAAGCGGGATAAGAACAGACTTATTTGAATATACTGTGTTGTATAAATTTAACTTTGGGACCATATAAATCTTTTACATACTTATAAGACTATATTTAATGTCTAAGAAATGATGGTAAAATAAGTCAAATTAACCTAAAAGTGTATCTAGTTGGTGGTATAACCACAAGGAGAAACCATGCCAAGTGACTTTACAACAGAAATTTGACTGTATATTCTTAGCAGGATTATGCTCTTAAAGCTCACAGAATTGAAAAGCAAAAACAGTCTTTTCAGTATTGTTACTGCTATTCTGAGACTGTTGTGCATAGTGAGGGATGAAGCAAATTAGTAATTATGTTGATTTCACTCAGTTCTACTGTTGGCAAAAAGAAATACAGAAATATGGTAATGACATGAAGTTAAAAGCCTTGTTGTGGTCCTAATTTCAAATTAGAAGAATCAGTATTAATTCATGATGTATTTTATCTCTTTGAATATATGTTTACATAAATACACACACACACACACACACACACCAACACACACACACACACACACACACACACACACACACACACTAGCTTAGTCTACTGAAAAGGCGTAGAAATAATGACCTCCCCAGTAGCAAAGAATATCCTTAATCGAAAGCTGCCATTTGCCGTTACAGGGATCTAGGACTCTTGGGAAAATGGCTGATGTCAGGTCTGCAGCAAGAAATGAACAAGATAAACCCATAGCAGCTTTTCATGTCAGTAAGCAAGGAAGCTCCCAAAGGCTAAATGGGGTCATGTCAGAATGATTCAGGAACCAACCTGAAAAGAATCCTCGTTGGTCAAAGATGAGCAAATTGAATATGAATAAGAGTTGTAACTACAGAGGGTTGAAACATATCAAATATATTTTTAAATTTATATGTTTGTAATGATACTTTAAAATAAAAAATACTTCATTATTTACCTTTGAAGGATTACAAGATTAGTACTTCATTATATTTAAAATGGTAAATGAAGGAAAGAAATAAACATTTTCCTGCTTTTCCTATATGATTTTATAATACATATATGCATATGCTTCAAAAAGAGGGAAAAGACTGGAAAGATATATACCAACATCCCAACTAAAACGATGTCATCACCGGTTACTAAAATTACAGTTCTTTCACACTATATTTTGTGTGCTTTGTTTTCTGTAGTTACTCTGTAATAAACTATAATCGAATACAGAGTTATAAAGTTCAGGGTTTTCTGTTAGATTATCTGATTAGTATTCTCATATTTTCTGATTTTTTTTTTCTTTAGGCCTTCAAACAAGCTAGAAATATGGGAGGATCTGAAGATTATAAGTAAGCCTACATATTCTGTGTGATAGCACATTCTTAAAATATTTCTAAAGAGATGACTCTTCTCTACCTCATAGCTTTGTCAGATTAAATCATTCTTATAAAGCAAGTAAATCGATGTCTGGTCATAGAAAGCACTCAGTAAATGTTAGTGGTGGCAGTATTATTATTATTATTATTAGGGTAATATATAAACCTGCCCTAGACTACATATGCCTACACTAAGTACTGATAGCTGCAATATTATACTTTAAAGGAAGTTTTTACTCCAACCCAGATAGTAACTTTACTTTGCTATTGTATACAAACTTTCATTAATGATAAAAATTTTAAATAAAGAGCTGCCGTGGGGCATATATATATGACATATATACCCATGTCTTAGAACTTCATATTATCAGCTATTCCTACATTTTCCCATTCACTCAACTAATCTTTATCAACTGAATCATGCTTTGCCTATTTGAAAATAAATTAAACCTTTGTAGTACCCTGTATTTCCTTTCAGCTATTGCACAGTCTCAGAGCTCTTGTATAATACCGAAGAGACCTACATTCCCTTCTCCTCACTCCCACTCAGTCTTTGCCACACGGTAGGCTGGCTTCCACTCCCATGTCTGCACCCTGGCATGTCTTGCAAGCCTCAGTAGTAAATTCTGTGTTGCTAAATCCAGTGGATGTTTTCCTCCTGCTAGACCTTACAGGAACAGTCAACACCTTTATTCTCTCTTCTGTTCTGAACAGTCTGTCCTAGGCTGCTGTGAAGCCTCATCCCCAGATGTTCCCCTATCTTTCTGTATCTTCCTCCAGCCCTTGAATGGGCTCATTCTCCTTTGCCTGCCATTGAAGACTAGAGTTCTTCCATACTTAGCCCTCTTCCTTACTCTGAGCTAGCTCCCTGGACAAATCAGAATTCTGAGGCTGTAATTGTTAGTGCTTCCCAGTCCTTTTTTGTTTTCCTTTTAAAGCTAATAAATATATAACCCTTCGCTCAATATATTGGTTATTGTTTCAATTAAGAGATCATACCTAATTTACATTAAAAAGTTGTAAGGAGACAGATTTTGAAATATGGAATTAATAATATTTTTGTACTTAAAACAGTTACAAATGTATTTTTAAAGTCATCTTATGAAAAAATAACCATAGGAAAAGTTTGTGATATTACACATTTGTTTGTGTTTTAATAATAGTACCAAGTGGTTTTCTTTTCTCTATGAAGGTTTCACGAGAAGTACTGTAGCTGTATATAGTACTTGTATGCTGGTCGTTCTTTTACGAGTCCAGTTGAACATTATTGGTGGATATATTTACCTGGATAATGCAGCAGTTGGCAAAAATGGCACCGTAAGTTTAATAGACTTAAGTAAATATTGCCCTTTGTTTCAAGAGGTTCACAATTTAACCCTAATATTATTTTCCTGATAATTTCTATAAAATAAATATCTTTATATTTCATGTGATTGTAAACTTTATTATTTTTCATATTTTGAAACTAGGCTTTTTGTTACATTAAAGAATATTATTTTGCCCATTATTCCAGGTCCTGAAAATCTCAGCTCAAGTGATACTGAAAATATTATTTACTAATAATATTGGGTAATATAACCTTACTTCTATTTTGTACAGACAGTTCTCGCTCCCCCCGATGTCCAGCAGCAATATTTATCAAGTATTCAGCACCTCCTCGGAGATGGTAAGATTCTTGTTTATGATCTGTAAAGTAATTGTTATTTGTTCACTTGTGTTATTGAGGAATTTAAAAAGTAAACAAATCTTTATGTTTGTTTTCTTTTAACAGGTCTGACAGAATTGATCACTGTCATTAAGCAAGCTGTGCAGAAGATTTTAGGAAGGTGAGGCATTTAGCTTTGGCTTTTCTAACTTCCTTATTCTGATGAATGAAAGAAAAATTAGAATTGTTCTAGCGAAGCTAGTGAAACTTGACAAATGCTGGTTCATAAAATTGTAACCTAATACAGACACAGCTCTGGATACCAAATTCTGCAATCCATCTCCGCCATCAGTATCAGCCTTTTGATACTAAGGGAAAAGTTTGAATGTTTCAGTGCTTAATGATTAATTTCCAAACAAACCAAAATATTTGAGTCATGAGATAAAAGACCTGCTTTAAAATCTTCCTCTGAAGCTGTTATCTCCCTTTTATACTTCTAATATCTATAATTACAAAGGGGATTTTCTTGCAAAATCTGCAGCAAGATTTTTCTGTAACAATGTTCTGTAACAATGTTCCTTAACTGATGGCTGATTTCTTAATCTACTCTCATGATTTCACAGTCAGCAGTTTCAGGTTTGACTGGGTGAAACGGGATCTCAGATAGTAACCTGTTAGGAAAAGAGTCTTTATAAGCTGTGTCATATAGTTTCAGTTAATCCCCATTTCCTTTTCTCTGTTTCTAGTGTTTCTCTTAAACATTCTTTGTCCCTTTTGGACTTGGAGCAAAAACTAAAAGAAATCAGAAATCTCGTTGAGCAGCATAAATCTTCTTCTTGGATTAATAAAGATGGATCCAAATCTTTATTATGCCATTATATGATGCCAGATGAAGAAACTCCATTAGCAGTTCAGGTACTTGATTCATAACCATTTAACCAAACCAGTTATTCTATGTTTAAAAAAATTTTTTTGTTGTCTCTTAAAAATTTAGATTTCTGAATCTCTTGCAAGGTAAGTGATGGAAAGACATTGTTCAATAATTTAAATAAAATCCCATTAATTTAGAAAACAAACTTCAGATATGACTGATTTCTAGTTAGAAATGTAATTTTAGATATTCAGCAAATTTTTATTGAGTATTAGTTATGTGACAGATACTATGATGTATGATCAGGATATAAAATGAACAAGACATATTCATTATAGGTGGGAAACTCAGGAGACAAATTTAGTTCATGTGGCTAGGTCGTATTTTTATGAGATCAAGTCACAGAAGATAGAGCTGACAGTTGGGGCAAGATCATGAAGAGCTTCATATGCCAAGACAGTGTGAACTTCAATTTACAGACAGAGAAAGGTAAATTTTAATCAGACCAGTATCACAATCACATTTGCTTTCTAAAATAAATTGATGGCAGTATCAAAATGGACTGAAGAAAGTTGTACTCATTAAGTTGAGAAACAAAGAAGGCCTAATCTAACAATTATCCACCACACTGTTGCTACACACTGGTGTGTCCCAGGCAGTTGTGATTTAAGTTATTCATTGCTTAAGAATAATGAAAGTACCAAAGGTTGCAGGTTATATACCTCATTTTAAAATAATTATTGTTTTTTTTCATATGTGAGCGGATTTTACCCATTCTTTGCTGTAGAGGAAAGAATCCCTCACTTGACAACTAGAGAAGCTTATTAGACCAGAAAGACCTCTATGCCATACCTCAGCATGAGAACAGAGACTGCTATGTCATATCTTGCCCACAAGTTTTTCCCTCCCCTAAACATCCCAGAGATAGACCTGCTTGGAAGCTGAAAGACCCTACATTCATGAATAGGCAATAAGTCACAACCCATTTAAGGCATCTCTGTAGGATATAGGCTAAAAAGAACAAGCAGAAAAGATGGGAAAGAATTAATGAAAGAAATAGGAGAAAACTTACAAGTTAGAATTTTAAGGAGATGCAATAAGAGTATTAAAAAAGCATCTGGAATGATAAAATAATCTCCAAATTTTAAAATTCAACAGTGGAACTGAAAAAGAAGACGATTCAAAAGAATGTATAAAGAGAGGAATGATAGACCAGATCTTATCTGAGTTGAATTTAAACATGAAACTCAAAATCGAAAGAACACACAGAGCCCCAGACTAGCGTAAATTGATGAAAAAAGGCACATACATGTCCTGATAAAATGTCTTACCAATGAAAAAAGAAAAAACTAGTCCTCTGCAACCACAGGGACTATTTTTTTTCTTTGTGTCCAAGAAATGTGTCCAAGAGAGGCCAGATAAACAAAGATCTCACAAAGTATAATTTTACTTTGACTCATATTTTAAATACTTCTTACCTGTATACATGAACTTTTACAGTTTTTTAGTTTAACATTTTTTTTTATTGTTGTTAGATTTCTTGAACTCTTGCGTTTATTAATATGTCTGGTTTCATCATAACCCTGTGCTAATATCTGAAATCTTAGGTATGGCATTTTATTTTCACAGGCCTATGGGCTTTCTCCTAAAGATGTCACCACTATTAAACTACTCAATGAAACTAGAGACATGTTGGAGAGGTAGGTATACTGCATGTAACAGAAACGTTTCTATTTTGAGCGTACTATGACCATTTTTTAGTCTTCCTTGAACAACATAGTCAACATAATATTTTGTTAAAATTAAATTTCATATCTATTGTTCTGCCTTTAGGTAGGATTTCCTACTTAAATTAGTGGTTCTCTTATTAAGGTGTGGAGGGAAGCAAAGATTTTTTAAGATACCCATGCCTTGCCCACTACTTCCTTAGCCTAGAGATTGTGATATACTAGTTGAGGGACTGGAAGATAGCATTTATATTTTGAAAAAAAGCATTCAAGGACAACTCTGGTATACTTAGTGTATAGTAGTAAATAGTAAATGTTTAAGAACCAGCTTTGTTAATTTAAAAAAAAAAAAAAATTGTAGCCACAGTAGTTCTGACTACCATTTTGAAGTCACTCAGTGCTGACATGGAGAGTTGCAAAGAGATGATCTTGAGAGTCAGAGCTATCCAGCGCCAACTAATCTTCATGTACACACACACGCGCGCACGCGTGCACTAATGTGTACACACACATGCATATTCAGTTTTGAGAACTGCCCCTCACCCTTTCAGGATAGACTAGAATGTTCCTAAAACTTTCATAAAAATTTCACACCTTCTCTGAATTATTACTATTTTAATTCATGCATTAGAAGACCAGAAGACCTAAGTTCAAGGCTGACTCTCCTATTTATTAGCTGTTCAACTTTGGTTGAGCCATTTAAACTCTTTTAGGTAGTTTTATCATTATAAAATCTGAGTAGTAATACCAGTCCTTCCCACTTTATCTTAAGTGATTAAAACATCAAATCTTCTTTTAAATTAAAGATAATTTAAGACTATTTCTCTATTTTTATTTTCTGAGGAAATTACATCTTCTGCTTATAATATTTTTTCATTTCATGATCTTGAAGAAAATCAGCAAATTTTTAGGTTAACTCAGCTATTGAATCTACTATCTGAATCCATCAAGTTCTAGTCCCTTGATTCTCTACAATAGTGATCTCCCTTTTTTTCTTATTCAAGTTTCCACCAAATCACTCTACAAAGCTGTAGAAAAGGTCATCAAGGATCTTTTGCCAAATCCAATCAACCTATAATGTTCATCTCTCTGATAATTGGCAGTGTCGATCAAGCCTTTCTTGAAATTTTTTTCTCATATGGTTTCCATGGCAGTATAACCTTCATTTTTCTCTCAATTCTCAGATCATGTCTTCTTAGGTTCCTCTGTGTTTGTCTTTCCTTTAAATATTAGTGTTTCCAAGGTATTTATTTGTTCTTATTTCATCCTCAACTGCCCCAAGCAATTCGTTTCATACTCCCATTGCTTTACTATCTATGCTAACAATTCCCAGATTTATAGTCCTAGCCCTCCACTCCCATGAGTTGGTCTGGATTAAGATTTCTGCATTTCAAAGATAGAACTAATCTGTTCAATTAGGCATTTTCTGTCATAGTACACATATCATATTCTTTATAGCAAAGAGATTTTGTGAAGTACTAATATAGTATAACAAAAAGAGCTTGAACTTTAAGATCAAAAAGGCCTGGGTTCAAATTCAAGCTCCCCCATTTACTAACTACATACCATCTGACAAATTTCTTCATCCTCCAGTATCCAGTTCTTCATCTATACAGGATAATAAAATTTTCTAAATCACTGAGATTTCATGATGGAGTATGTAAAGTAAACCAATAACTTGTGACTATAAGATGATTTCTCTTCAAGAGTTTCCTCAAAAGAAGTAATATTATTGATATTTTTTAAGAATGCATTATAGTAATACTATTGATATTTTTTAAAGAATGCTTTGTACAAAATGGTAACTAATGTTAAGAAAATCTAGAGAAATGGATGAATATTTTCTTTGTGTTGCACTAAATAATAAGCCCACTTTGTATACTAATTCTTAAAGATTGACCCCTTGATATATTTTTATAGTATTTTAGGATGTAAAAACTAGATTGTGACTAGAAGTAGTGATGACTGTCAAAGATAGCTACAGTTATCCTTTTTCATTGAGAATCTGAAAAGTAATTTATCTTTCTTCTTTTGTGTAGTCCAGATTTTAGTACAGTTTTGAATACCTGTTTAAACCGCGGTTTTAGTAGACTGCTAGACAATATGGCTGAGTTTTTTCGACCTACTGAACAGGACCTACAACATGGTAACTCCATGAATAGGTAAGATGACATAAAAATGTTGTCGGTCTAATGATTACTCTAACAAAATAGTATTTTGATTGCGTTTATTTTTTGTTCTAGGTAACAAAAAAAATCTTAGAGGATAAATTTTAATGCTAATTTTTCAACAAATTAAACTTGGTTAAACTAGTGACTCCTTCATTGGTAGAACTCCTTCTAGATTCAGTATTAAAACTTTCATTTATTCTCAAAACTTTGCCACTGTATAGAAGTGCTTAAGTTGTGAAACTACCTTTCTACAGGCCAGATTCCAATTATTGGATTTTTAAAACTCTTTAGAATACACAACTAAAAATGTTTGAAAGTTTAATGCATTCTCTCATTTTATTCCAGTACTGTAAGCCATTATTGGCCTACATAATTTAATACTTTGGTCATTATAATAACCACGCATTCTTGTTGTAGATTCTCATTTGATGAATTATCTGCTAGTTTTACAACTACATAAATGTATTCATTTTCAGCCCTGATTGTAAGAATATAATGTTTGATTTCTTCAGGAATACATAAATCCTCCCTCCTTCCTTTTTGTTTTTAGGCATTGCATCAAACCTCAGCACAGCATACTGGTTAGACACCATTGCTTCAGCATTTTCATGATATTTAAAAAGAAATTTCTAGTCTAGCCTCGGATTTAAATGTATGAAGTATAATCTTTAATGTACTAAACCTAAGTCTATAATCCACACATAAAAATTTGTTTTTTAGCTGTCATAATCACACATTATGTTGCACATAATCATTCAACGATCATACAGAATCACGTATCACGTTCATTTTTTCATCTCACAAATGTTTATTGAACACTTAAAAGTTAGAAGATTATAGCTATAGCAGACGAGATGATGCTTAGCTTGGACTAGGTTTGGCAGTGGGGAAAAATAGACAGTTAAGAAATACTTAGGATTAAAAAAAAGAAAGAAATATTTAGGATTGTGGAGAAATTGGATATAGAATACAGAAGGAAGTGCCAAAGATAATGCTTAGGTTTCCTGCTTACACGGCCGGATAAATAATGGTACCGTTTACTGCAGTAGAAGAAAAAAACATTAAACATTGCTAGTAATTAAGAGAAATACAGACCAAAACCGTGAGATACCTTTTCAGCTATCAGACATAGAAAGATAAAGAAAAAGATAATGCTTGATATTTTAAAAAGAAGGCATGATAAAGTAAGCGTTCTCACACAGTGTTGGGGAAGCAAAAGGCATTTGGCAATATACATTTTAAACCTTAAAAATGTTCATACCTTTGGTCCAATAATCCCATGTTGATATACATTTATATTAAGGAAAATTAGGCAAAAACTTAGATCTCTAACTCTAGGGACCTAATAAATTTCAAAGAGGATGTATTACTACATAATCATTTAAAAACAGACAAAAACTTCAGAAGAACTTTAAAAAGAATAAAAAAATGCTTATATGAATAAAAATTCAAAACAATTTTGCTTGGAAAGTTATAGTTGTATGCTAAAAAAACATAAGCATTACTAGAAGAAATTAACCATGATGTCAGTAATAGCCAGTAATAGTTATTTCTAGATGGTAGCATTATGTGTGATTTTTATTTTCTTATTAATACATTTCTGTATTTTTCAATAGCTATTAATTTTATAATTAAAATGTTAAATACCTATGTGAAAACTTCAGAAAATAATTATTACTGTGATGATTTTTTAGTCTTTCCAGTGTCAGCCTGCCTTTAGCTAAGATAATTCCAATAATAAATGGACAGATCCATTCAGTTTGCAGTGAAACACCTAGTCATTTTGTTCAGGTAAGAAGAAAGCTTTGGGGTATTATAAACAGATTGTATTTTTGGTTGCGTTCCTGTTTGTCTAACGTGAAGTTACATTTCTGTCCTGTGATATTTGTTCAAAGAAATCAAAACCTTTAAACCACATGTGGAGTGTGATACAGTGCCTCATGAGAGTCCTAATGTATCATGGCAAATGTATTAGCTTTCCCCATGTTATAGTCCAACACCTGTTAGACTGCATTTAACCCCGATACATTCTAGTGGTCAGTTGAATTTAGTGTTAATGTTTTGCATTAAGCTGTGCTAGTGAGAATATTGAGGCTTGAGACAGATCAGTGATACTGTTCCTCAAATTTTGAGGAAAACCAAAAAAACTTGTGGAAAAGTAAAGCATTTTAATAATAAATAACTATAACTATTAATAGTACATCAATAATCTCACTAAAATCTGCATAGATAGTAAGTTATTTAAAATTTTCACTGCCTATTACTCTATCTTCTTTCTTATGAAAGCATTTAAAATGCATTAAGACTGATGTATTAAAAGGATAACTTTGAATCCACATAAGTTTTTTTTCTGTGTCATTTGCAAACTTGGAAACTTATATATAAAAAATTACTTGCAATACATCTCAGTTCCAAACTACTACAATAATTTGCAGTGAGAAGAGACCCTAGGCCTAAGTGTAAACACAGCATCTTCTCAGTGCCATTTGTCTCAGACAAATTAGAGTATTTTCTCTGTGGACTGTCTACTCAGAAACATGAAGAGCACTGAGACTTGGGTTGTATTTCTTCCTTTCTCTGTATAGTATCAATGACTTGTCCTTCACATGCTTATTTTCTCTCACTGTTCTCTTCAGTCTTCTCTGTCACCTTTCTCACCCATGAGAGTTAGACATTCATCTTGCAGAAGAAAGAATGAATGAAGCTGATTTCATCTCACTTAATTTTAAACTTAATTTAAGCTCAAATTTTTTTATATTAAAAACTTAGTTTTAAATTTTTAATTAAATTTTAATTCAATTTTCACATGTATATCAGTGTGAGAAAAAAGTTGTAACTACTAACATTGAAACCTTATCTTTACTATTTTCATCTTTCATAAAGTGTCTGGCTTCATCAGTAGACTGTTCATCTTATCTTGACAGACAAGTGGTCAATACAACCGATGATATAGCATCACCAGCGTCACCAGTTCTTAAGAAATTTATGTTTTCCATTAATTAAATTGTATAATTGATAATGAAAACAAAAGGTTTCAATCTAGTAAAAATATTGTTGATATTAATGTGTACAAAGTTCTTTAGTGAGACCGAATATAGATTAAATTTATATACTACGCTATTAATTGACAAGACTTTCACCAATTTTTAACTGTGATTTCTATGAGTTAAAACACCAAGTAGTGTTCGGAGTCAATAACCATGAATTTGTTGAGATCAAGACTTGTCTAAAGCTCACTTGAGTTTTCTGATGCTTAAGAGAGAACACAAAGGATATGTTCACTTACTGTTTCTCTGCCACTCACAGGGGCACTTATTTCTGTGGCATGGATCTTTTCACAATCTGATATAGTCTATGGACCCCTTCTAAGCATATTATCTGTAAATGCGTATTGTAAAACACATAGGTTCTAAAGAAAACCAATTACATACAGTTTTCAAAATACTTTTTAAAATCAAATTTATAATGTAGCAATATTGCTTCTTTGTTTATGCATTAAATAAAATCTAATGGCAGTTCATGTAACTTCCGCAATTATATGATATGAAAATGTCTGATTTCTGTTGAAGGCAAATTCACAAGTTCTGCTAATACTGTCATTTTGTTGCTTACATTCATGATTGAAGGAAATGCTAGATTTTAGTTAAAGGTTAATAAAAAAAAGATGTAATTTTTTCTTATCTTTTCATTCATAAGTGCCTTAAGAACCCTTGTTCTCAAGTGCCTATGAGTGGCTTATGTGTGTGTATATGTGACATACTACTATATTATTTAAATCTTCTAGAAGGTAATATACTTCAACCACATCGTGTCAGCTTCCAGCAAAAGTACCTTTAGACTTGTATCTTTAGTATTGTAATCATTTACTCAGTAGATACTTATCTAGCAGTTGGCACACGCAAAAATCCATTTGAAGACCATTTGGGGTCTTCCTCTCAAAGTCACGCTTGAATAATTACCATATCCACCATCCCTCACATAAGAACTAAACAATAAATATGTCCTAGAATTTATTATTAGAAAAAAATGGCCCTTTCATTAAATGGTTTTCTTTTTGGCCTTAATGCCACAGAACTTAGAGCTAAATTTGTTGCTTGGTTGCAGAAATGAATTCAAATTAACCATACTTTTTACAAACTGTAATGTTTTATTTTCATCTTTGCTAGGATCTATTGATGATGGAGCAAGTGAAAGACTTTGCAGCTAATGTCTACGAAGCTTTTAGTACTCCTCAACAACTGGAGAAATGATATTTTTGCTTTCAAAAAAAACTAAACTGTAATTTATTTACTTTTAGAAATATACTGAATAAGTCAACAATATACATAGGGTAATGACTTGTTACCAACATGCCTAATAAAAATATATTCTTAAGCTTTTCATTTTGTAATAAAACAAATTTATTTGTCATCATAGTATATTTTTAAAGTCATCAACAGACTAGTTTTTGTGGGTGTATCTGAATGTACACAGCACAAATATGAGAAATATATTACATGATGGATATTAGTTCCAAATTGACTGAAAACCAATGTAGATACTTTTTTTTATATATAATACAAAAGTCAGCATACTTTGACATTAATACTGAGGTCAACTCTGGGAAGTAGGGTGAAGTTTGGAAAATATGCTATTTATCCAATCATAAAGTTCACTGGACTGCAGTATACATGAGTAAATCAGACTTTTTTCCAGTTACTCTTCAAAGGAAAAATTATTTGTCTTAAATATATCTGACGAAGGACTTTTCTTTTTATGGAAATCAGTGAATTTAATAACCATGGTCAGCTTTTTTTCCTTTACTATTGTTAACAATCCTTAGAAAATTACATAGTGATTTAGAGGCTAAAATTGTGTTGATGCTATTTATTCACAGCCATTATTAACTACATAGTTTCATTCATTTGTATGTAAATAATTTTAATAACTTACTTTGTATTGATTTTGAATACAGTGGATATCTTATTACAATAAAATATTTTAGTAAAATATGATTTTGTTGATTTAATACTTTATAGCCATTAATGTATTTGTTCCACAGCATTTTTGCTGTTATTTTGGGAAAATGCCAGTATTCAAGTTTCACACTGATAATAGAATTGATACTTTCTTTTAACTTGTTTATTTAGAAAAAATAGCATTTTCTTTTGAAAAGAAATAATTCATTGTCTCTAGTAAATCTATTGTGCTGTATTTATAAGGATAATTAGGGCAGAAAAAAATGAATCATATATCATCAGTACATTAGATATATTTTCAGTAATATAAGAATATTTTCAGTAACTTCATTTTATGTTCCTCCAACATAACATACAGCTCAATAGTAGTAGAAAAATGAATTGCAAAGTCTCTTCTAAGGCCAAGAAGCTAGGCCCAAACTAGATTTGGCCTTGGAAGAGAGAAAGCCCATCAGCTGAAAATTACCATGTGGAACCATCTACATCTGTAGCGTTACAGCAATTAAAGAGATGACAAGGTAAAAACCAATGTATTCGAAGCTAATTGGCCTTAGACGTTAAAAATTTGTCCTCTAATAGTAGAGTAGGAGCCCTCTTGTCTGGAACCCTTAGTTGTGTGGTTAATTCAAAATGTCATTTAAAGCAGGATATCATAAAAAATCAATAAATAACACATGTATTCTTAGATACTTTAACTTGAAATAAAAATTATTTGCCAGTTATGTAATGTAGGAACCAAACCTTTTCTACCTTTTCAGTATAGGTCTGCTTATAGGTGTTCTCTAATTGTTTTTCTTTTACAGATCACATGCATTCCATTACAGAGATATGAAATGCGTACAGAATTCCTGTAGATTTTTACTATATTTCCACCAATAAATTAATCAACTTTTTTTAAAAAAAGATAACACACTTTTATTTAGTCTGTCCAAACTGTTCAACTTGATTTTCACAGAAACTACAACTCTTCGCTCTATGTCATCAGTTTATGTAATCATGATAAAAAGTTCGACTGGCATAATCAGTTTGGTGCCTATTAGTTTCCTAGAGCTTCCATAACAAATCACCACTAACTGGGTATCTTAAATCAACAGAAATTTATTCCCTCACAGTTCTGGCTCTTAGAAGTCCGAAATCAAGGAGCAAGCAGGACCATGCTCCCTCTGAAGGCTCTAAGGAAGAATCCTTCCAATCCATCCTTGCCTTTTCCAGCTTCTGGTGGCCCCAGGTCTTCCTGGACTTGTAACAGTGTAACTCCAATCTTTGTCTGCTTTCATGTGGTATCTTTTCTGTGTCTGTGTCTCATAAAGATATTCTCATTTAGGACCCACCCATATCCAGTATGATCTTATCTCAATATTTACCTTAATTACATCTGCAATGACAATTTCCAAGTAAGATTATTTTTTGAGCTTCTTGATGGATGTGAATTTGGGGAAAATATTCAATAATATTATTCACTAATAGTAATATTCAACCTACTATAACAAAACTAACCCTTGGTAAACATATTTTGCAGCAAGTAGAAACCACAGTGAAGGATATGCCAGAACAAAGCCTACTAACTGAAAGCCTGCAACTTGCTCGAGTCATAAGTTTGCTTGTCCCAGGAAATAGCATCAGTTAACCTAGTGAGTTGATTAAATGGAGATTACTTAAAACAGATACTTTTTCTCCTTGAAACTTGTACAAATGTGTTTATTATTGTGTATATATATTAAAATTTGATATGACCATTTATTTTATTTATTTGGAAGTTAGAGAAGATCTAACGGTCTTATAGTTACAAAATTGAACAGAAGGCAAAACATTTGTCTTGTTTTCTGTCATCTTAATTCATATTTATTTGAATAGCCTGAACTTTTGGAGTAATTGTGTTGTTTTGATAGGGCACTCATAAGAAAATGAGACGAAAACATCATAATGATATCCATATTTAAAATGATATCAGTGTCGACTATTCAGTCTAACAATCTAGTTTATCTTCAATAGCTCTCTAGTCATTGAAGGAAAAATCAAAGTTACTACAATTCAAATAAGGCAATTTTGTACCCGTTAGTAACTCTAGGAAAAGGATTAATTGGAGGATAGAAACGTTTGGCTTTAAATAGATAATGAGAGATCTTATTTTTAATTATCCTTGCTATAATTCTTGCCCTCTGTACCACAGATTGTTCTAAGAATTTGCTGGTATAAGTTTAAATCCCTTTATGAGACCCAGTTGTACATTTCATATATAAGCAAAATATACCTTAAATTGGTGTCATGTTTTCATATATAATGTCTGGTTATTAGCACAACATTTTTTCAGTGCCTCTTGAGTGCTGAGCTCTAGTTTGTCATTTAAAAAAAGAAATTTAATCTCATGTCCCCATCCCTTCCCTTTTGGCAACCATCAGCTTGTTCTCTATATCTATGGGTCTGTTTCTGTTTTGTTCTGTTTATTTTGTTTTTTTAGATTCCACACACAAGTCAGATCATACAGTATTTGTCTTTCTCTGACTTATTTCACTCAGCATAATACCCTCTAGGTTCATCCATGTTATTGCAAATGGCAAGATTTCATTCACTTTTATGGCTGAATAATGTGTACGTGAGTGTGTGTGTACCACATCTTCTCTATCCATTCATCTATTGCTGGATATCTAGGATGCTTCCATATCTTGGCTATCACTAATAATGCTGCAATGAACATAGATTGGCTATTACTAGTAATGCTGCAATGAACATAGATATAGATTATATATATATATACACACACACACATACATAAATATATCTTTTCAAATCAGTGTTTTTGTTTTCTTTGGATAATTCCCATAAATGGAATTGGTGGATCATAAAGCAGCTCTATTTTTAATTTTTTGAGGAATCTCCATACTGTTTTTTATAGTGGCTGCACTAATTTACAGTCCCAACAGTGTACAAAGATTCGCTTTTCTTCACATCCTTGTCAGCATTTGTTACTTGTTGACTTATTGATAATAGCTGTTCTGACAAATGTGAGATGATATCTCATTGTGGTTTTAATTTGCATTTCCCTAATGATTAATGATGTTGAGCATCTTTTCATGTGTCCATTGACCATCTGTATGTCCTCTTGGAAGAAATGTCTATTCAGGTCCTCTGCCCATTTTTTAATTGTATTGGTTGTCTTTTGATGTTAAGTTGTATGAGTTCTTTATATATTTTTATATATTAATCCCTTATCAGATTATTTGCAATTATCTTTTCCCATTCAGTATCTTTCATTTTGTTGATGGTTTGTATTTTGTCATTTAGCTTTATCATAGCTTCTCATTTTTTGTACTCTACATTTAACTAGAATTTGTTTAAATAGTTCCATTTTTCTACTTTATTCTCAATGTGTAAGGGTAAAGGTTGACAGAGTAGAAATTTAAGTGCCCACCGATAGGTTTTAGACTCAAAATTACTTTCTTTAAGCAAACAAATGACCTTCCTTTTAAGATTCTTATAACACTGTTTATGAGAGTTTGTTTGGGTTTTTTTCCTTTTTGTTTTTTCTTAGTCTAGTGTTTGAGATGCTGTTGATTTGTCCACATTGTATCTCTAATAAAATATTAATAGAGATTTATAAATATTAAAGTATTCATGTAAATACTTTGGCATGGTTTCAAAATTTGAACTTCAACAATGAGTAATTTAAAACACTTTTTTAAATTTTAGCATGCTTTTAAGAAATATGAATAATATTCTATTTCACTTTCTATTCGAATCTTTTTTTTAAACAGTGCGATATCTGCATTTAATTAATGTGACAAAACGGAACTTGCAGCACTTCAAATAAATATCTGGTAATATAGAACACCTTTTGTTGAGGTTAATCAACAGTTAATCACTTTTTCTTTAAATTTACATAAAAATCAGTATCATTTTTGCTTAATTATTTTGCTTTATTCTTAGGGAAAATCTAAAAAGATTTCCTCATTTTCAATTAAGTTTTCAACTTTAGTTTGCTTGGAGGCAAATATAAGAAGCAAATTTATTAAATTAAATTGGACCTCAAATTAGCCCACCTACAAAAATAGGCCACACCTCTAATCCCATAACCCTTCTTGACCCCACCAAAAAACCTGGATGACTACATACTAAAATATCAATAGTGCTGATCTGAACAGTGATTTTACCTTTGAGCATTTCTGTATGTTTTAAAATATCTACGGTGAATATACATCAGTTTTATTATCAAGAGGGAAAAAAAGACAGTTTTTTAATAAAAATAATTATAGTAAGCATTGGAAATATATAGTAAGCCAAATTTATTTTAAACCTACCATTTGTATTAGTCTGCTCAGGCTGCCATAATAAACTACTGACTGGGTGGCTTAAACAAAAGTACTTTATTTTCTCACATTTCTAGAGGCTGAAAGATGAAGGTGCCATTGGGTTTGGTTTCTCTTGAGGCCTCTCTCCCTGGCTTATAAATGGCCTGTCTTCTCACTGTGTCTTTACACGGTCTTTCCTCTGTGTGCTTGCATCGCTGGTGTCTCTTCCTCTTCTCATAAGGGCACTAGTCATATTGGATTAGGGCCCCTACCCTTATGATTTCATTTAACCTTAGTTATTTCTTTAAAGGCTCTGTCTCCAAATACAGCTGCACTGGAGGTTAGGGCTTCAACATGAATTTAGCAGGAGACACAATTCAGTCCTTAACAACACTAATTCCTAGCTACTCAAAAATTTCCACCTCTGAATCACAGCTGGAATTAAATTCAATGTGAAGAGACTTCAATAGCAAACATAGGGAAAGGAGAAAATTGCCTCTACCCTTCTAGGTTCTTCCTACTGGTCTAATCAAAATGACATAAGACAGATAAACAATTGAAGATAATCAAATTTAATTACATGCATATATGTGGGAATCCCACATACATGAGTGAGTTCAACTGCCCCACATACATGAGAGGTTCAGAGGCAGAAAGTTAAAATGAGATACACGTGGCATTCTGAGCTAAGGTTGAGGTAAGGTGCCTTGGTTCTTCATAGAGGAGGAAGATCATTCATAGGATAAGAAAATCAGATGTTCCGTAATTAGAACTTTGCCCTGCCCTGTAGATAAGTCCTAAAAAGTTACTTCTGGTGATAAGTCTTATTATGGCCCCAAATTTAAATTCTTTACGAAAGAGATAAAATTTCTCATGAGCTTGCAGAGTTTCGATTGCCTTCTGCTCAAAATAATTCACATGCTGAAGTGGCACATCTTGCCGAGGCCTGTTCTAAACCCCTTCACAGATTGCACTGGAGAGTTAAAACAATTACATGGGTAATTTAGGTGGAAAAAAAATGGAGAGTAAGAGGAGAAAAGAGGCTGCATTGCCTAAATAATTACTTGACTTTTCTTGGCCCATTTTACATTTGCTTTCTCCATATGCGACAATTATAGAAACCTGATATTTTCTAGTCTTAGATGTAACTTCAGAATGAACCACTCTCCTGCACATTAGATCACATTAGTTAATGCTAGAGCCCAGCCCCATTTACAGGGCATCTGATGAAAGGTTAGATGTGGCAGTTTCACCATAATGCCATTTTGCTTCAAAGAGATCCATTTAAGTGGCTGTCCATGTCCCAGTAGTTTAACCTGAAATTAAAAACATACACACAAATGTCTCCAAATGTATCTCTTTGACTCATCTACTTTATTGAGGAATGGTTGATATTTCTTAAACAAGCATTGTAGACAGAAGATTCATTTTTTACTTTTATCTAGTAGTTCACAAGCTGTTTTAATAACCCTCGATTAAAGAGTGCATATGTCTGTCTTATGCCTTTATTCTTGTTCCTATATTCTCAAATAAAAATGCGCAGGAGTTGGAGAAGAAGAACTGTGAAGGCTGACTGAAGTGTCAGAGTAGGGAAAATGCTGAAGAGTAGGGAAAATGACTCTGGAACTAAACTGCCCAAATTAAGTTTTCACACAGAATGTTTGGAGAAAGGCTCCTCTCCCTTATCCAGCCAGATTTCCTCCTCAAATTTTCCAGTAACCCACTAATCGACCATACATAACTGTGACCAGTTATTACTATAATTGTTTTATATCCTTAGCCTTATACTAAGTGAATTTAAAAAGTAGTTTTCTACATAACTACAGTTATTTTGAACCAGAAGACTTTGCTTGTCATGTAGAGCATATAAAAGCAAAACCCATGAACTTTTAAATAACACTATTAATGAAGGCCAAAGAGAACATTGATAAAATAAAAAGATAATGTCATACACAGGCCACTAAACTGTAATTAAACATCAGATTTCAACTCCGTCTTCTTTTCTGCCTGATCAACCACAGGAGTTAGAAATGAAATATGAAAAAATGATGCAAGGAGAAACATGGACAACTCACCTCTAAGGAACTTGTTGATTTCTTAAAAATAAACTGTGAAATATATCCCCCTAATATTTAATACCAGCCTCTGGCATGAAACCTCAATACCAGACCTAGTGGTTACAACTGTTAGATTAACCTTTAACTTTCTCAAAAATTTGTACGAACTTGACATAGGAGGGCCATAACATATTACTTGTATTCAGAGGAATAACAATTCCAGTTTTATGAAAAGCATTATTTCAGATGTATACAGTGAACCTGAACAACATAGAATAATTGTGAAGAATATTTTACACTGATATGCATGGAGATAATGTAGCTGCTTTATAAGTCATTTTTGCGGGAAATGAAAGAAAATTTTTACAGGTGTTGGCCAAACATCATCATCGATGAAGTTCATTTTAAAATTACTCTTATGATTAATAAGAGGAACATATATAAGGCTCTCTGTCAAGTTAAAAGCTACGTTTTGATCAGGATATCCTAGTCAACAATTTAAAGGGACAGTGAAGACAAAATTCCCTCTTACCTCTGTTAACCCCAGAGTAGCTTTGGGTTGGCCAAGAATCAGCTGTCCAGATATGGGCCATTTGAGAAACATGGCATAGACCAATTTTTCTTTACGTTTGGTTGTATACCTGTTATTAAAGGAGGAAAAGGCATAGTAATATTTCTCATTATTTTTGGGTCAGGTCTGGAATTATTTACAGGGATACTTCCGTTTGGTAAATATTTACCAGGTCTTCATTAATGGAGGGAAGGGAAAATAGCCCAATGGTAATGTAAAAAGCACCCAAAGGGTACTGATCCCAATTCCATTGTGTGTGGACAGGTCCCTATATCACAAAAAAAATTCTCAGACACCATCTGGGGATCATACAACTTAACTCAATTCTGACACTGTCTACCTGGAGATAGTGTCAGATTCCACAGATTAAGGGCTCAGTCTTAGAGGACTCTCTGTTTCCCCCAACTTCAGACACCAAGCACAAGTCCAAGTTGACATCTGGGCATCTGACCCCAACAGGTTATAGATGGGAGGTTCCAATGACCCCCTCCTTGGGTTCAATTAATCTGTTAAAGCAACTCACAGAAATCAAGAACCATTTTACTACTGGATTATTGGTCTGTTATAAAAAGGTACAACCCAGGGACAGCCAGATGGAAGAGATGTACAGGGCAAAGCATGGGGAAAGGGAAGGCGTTTCCATGCCCTCTCCAGCACACTACTCTAAGCACCTCCACCAACCTGGAAGGAAACTCTAAACCCTGTCCTTTTGGATTTCTATGGAGACCTCATTTCACAGGTATGATTGATTAAATCACTGGCCAATGATGATTGATTAAACCTCCAGCCTCCGCCCTCTCTGGAGATCTGTGGTAGGACTTAAAGTTTCAAACCTCTAAAGGATTAGGTCTCCTGGCGACCATCCCTCATCCTGTGGTGCCTCAAAAGTCGTCTCATTAGCATAACAAAAGAACCCTTTATAGCTCTCATCGCTTGGGAAATTCTAAGAGTTCTAGGAACTCTGCGCCAGAAACACATTTCTTGTTGTAAATAACAATATCACAGCACCTTCTTCCCCCATTTCCCCAGTACCAAAAAGTTCTTAGAACAAAGATTTTTCTACTATTGCTCTTCATTGTTAAGGGTGGAAAATTTTCAAGTGAGCAAACTAGCTAAGTCAGCTACAGGGAAGAAATATCTTTAGATATCAGAAGTTGTCCTACTTGCTTGTGTGTGGTTTAGGAAGTGTATTGTATAAAATATGTAGATGGCCAATGTCTGCTTCTGTAATCCATTTACTTGTTAATTAAGGGTGTTGTTCCGGGCAAAGATATGCTAAAAGCCAACTTCCACTTCTGTAATCTGCTGGCTTGTTCAGGGGACCACCAGGATATGGTCTTGAGCTTTATCAGCTGCCTGCTCTGAAAGCTCAGGGCTGATCTCCTCTAGCCCTGCGTGGTAGAGAGTCAGTCGCCGGCCGGCTAATAAAGGCTCATAATTAATCTCAATTGGCTCTGTGGGTCTCAGAATTGTTTGCGCCATAACATTCATCGGACTGTTCTCATAGAATTGGAAATAGGCAGGGTAGGTGAGTGAAGAGGGGAAGATGCAAGAGCAGATGGCTTTCCACCCTTAATTCAAATCTCCATGTTCCTTTATTCAACAGATGCATATGTGCCGGTGCTGGGCCAAGTTCTGTGTTTGGTGTTAGAAAACCACGTGCTTGAGTTCTTGTTCTTATGGAACTTAGACTAGAGTGAGGAAGACATTAAATAATCCCACAAATAATATAAAAGCCTGAGTTTCGGTAAGTACTATGAAAGAAAAGGAAATTGAAAAATTATAACACAGGGATTTTTTTAGATTACATCATCAGCAAGAAGCCTCTCCAAGAGAGTGACATGTAATCTGAGACTTAAAGAATGAATGAGAAAAAAATGGAAAAAGTAAAAAGAGTACAGTCTAGATAAAGAAAACAGAATTTGTTCATTTTTTCACTCGATTACTCAACAAAGTTACTGAGATCTTTTAGAACTGGAGACATAGCATTGAAAACATCTCTGTCCTCACAGAGCTAACACTGTAGTGGGGAAAATTAGAATGAGCAAATGAATACATGTCAGGTGATGATTAAGTGCTATGGAGAAAACTGAAGGCAAGTAAGGATAGAGCATGCTCGGCTGGAAAGGAGGGATCTGGGGTAGTATTTTAAATAGTCAGGGAATAGTCCGGGAAGACTTCTGTGAGGAGGTGGCATTGAGGAAACCTAAAGAACATGAGGGACAGCATGTGGGTAGCTAGAGAAAGAGACCAGCAAGCAGAGAACTCCCAGTGCAAGAGTACGCACGGCCTGCCAAAACTACAGCAGGGAGAGCAGAGCGGCTGAAGGAGAGAAAGTGAGGGGTGGCCCAGCAGCAGACGAGAGCACAGCGACAGCAAGGAGCCAGTTTTTATAGGACCTGATAAGCCTCTCTGACTGGAAGCCATTGGTGGAATTTGAGCATGGTGGTGACATCACCGGATTTATTATTTAAAAAGTTCTGTGGCAAATAAAGGGATAAGGATGGAAACGTCAGTCAAGGGGCTAAAGGGGCTACTGAAGTCATCTAGAGAAAAGACAATGGAGACTAAAAGGAAAGTTGCCACACAGAGGATAAGTGGTCAGATGTGGATATTTCAAAAATAGAGGTTATGATATTTGCTGATGGATTGGCTGCGGGATATAAAAGGGAAGTTAAGGACACCAGTTTTTGGCCTGACAACCACCTAAAAGGATGAAGCTGCCATTAACGAGATGGGAAAGATGGTAGGCGGAGGTAATATCAAGCACACGTTTAAAATTAGGACATATGTTTTAGATTTAACAGGTTTAAGATCCTTATACTTCCAAGTGGAGATGTTGACTAGGAAGTTGAATTTAGGAGTCTGGAGTTCAAGAAAAGAAGTCTGCATTGTAGGTCATCAGCAAAGCATTGAATGCCATTAAAATAGGTGGTATCCCTTTGAGGAATTAAAATAGAGAATAGAAGTCCAAGGCCTAAGTCTCCAGGCACTTCAGGATTCAGAGATTGGGAACTTGAGGTGGAACCAGCAAAGGAAACTAAGAAGGAGCAGCCCACAGGCAAATGAAGACAAGGAGAGACAACAATCAACGGAGACAAATGCTGCCATAAGCTCAGAAAAGAGAGTCTGGGAGCCGCCCCTGGATCTGGCAAGGAAGAGGTGATCGTGGGCCTCAATAACCGTGGCATCGCGCAGTCATAGGCAGAGCCTGACCAGAGTGAGTCCGAGAGAAGCAAGAAATTGGAAATATCAAGTAAAAAGAATTAACATGTTTTATTGTAAAGGAAATGAGAGAAATGGGAAGGTAGCATCCAAGAAGGATCGAAAGAGTACATGTTTAAGATGAAAGAAATATTTGTATAGCGTTCAGAAAGTATCTAATAAAGAGGGAAAATTGAAGATGAGAAGCGAATGGGGAGAATCACTGAAACAGCGTCCTTGAGTGGAAAATATGTGATGAGATCCAGTTCACAAGGGTTGGCCTTAAAGCCAAAAATGAAGTTATTTGAGAGAGAGAGAGAGAGAGAGAGAGTGTGTGTGTGTGTGTGTAGCTGCCAAGGGACCAGCATGGAATAAGTAGAGCTGAATTTAATCAAAGTTGAGATTTTAATGAGTATGAAAGAGAGAGAGAAAGTTAAGGAATTGAGGGAATATGCAATGGAAGTACCAGCTATATAATCTGACCTGGATAAGGGAAAAAAAAAAAAAATGAATTTAAGAGAGTAAGACATGAGGGACAGATAAAACATGATAGGATCAAAGATGGTATAATCAATGGATTACAGAACACTTTGGAAGCTGAAATGCTATGTGGAGTGAGCTGAAATATAAGAGGTTAGACAGTAGAATGCTTCAAATTGAGGTCACAGAAGGAGTACAATTACTGGTAGGTGGTTCAGGTCTGAGGTATGACCAAAAGAAAGGGTAGCAAGAGTAGAATGAACAAGCTCCCTGGAAGAGAAAAGGTACAGGACTGAGGGCCAGCAAATTAGAACTGATATTAAAAATCAAAGAATTCTGTATAGTAGATCTGGAGTCACTGACAGTGAACCAGGGCTAAAATCTGGAAGGATTTTAGGAATAGATCCTGGAGTCTATTGTGGATGAAAAAGGGTTCTATGGAAAGTAACCTCACAAGATGATTGGATCATAAATTCCTAACTGGGCAGGTCATGGTGGGCAGTCACACCCTAGGCATATAATTTTTTTAGTTAAAGGTTTACTTTTGCCTTAAGCAAGACCTGTCCAGTGCTTTAGTGCATCTAGGTTAACACACCTTTGAAATAAACTCAACCACCCTAGAGAGCACATGATCTTGTTAACTGTCCTGTAATCCAATCCCCACCTTGCTTTCTCCCACCTCCATGTAGTCTTCCTTCTATTCCCTCAATTTCAAATCCATAAACGCTGCAAAACTGTCCTCCAGAGCACTTGAGATCTTGCTTCCTGGCAACTGTCATCAGTTTTGGCCGAAATAAACTCATAAAAATTCTCTACAGTTTTGGACGTTTCTTATGATGACACTGTGGATGCCTGCTGCAAGGAAGGGAAGCATAAATGATGACACCAAGGGTGAAAGCTCTTAACAGTGAGGAGAGAGCAGGGGCATCTGAGGTCTGTGATGCTGGCAGGAGCTAGACACAGGGGTTTGGGGGCCTTGTTAAATATCTTGGCTTTTATCTTTACTTAGTAAAAGAAAAACTAATGGAATATTGGTTAATAATTGTGAAGTCCCAGGTTCGACACTGTCACAGTCAAATATAAGCACAGAAAAAAATTCCAAAACCAGATTTAACTAACCTCTGTAAAATGAAGGATCGGTACTGAGTTCTCATTATGGCTTCTCCCAGACCCAACATTCTAAAACTACCATTACTTTATTTTCTCCAGTGAGAAATAATTTTTTTAAGTCATAAGTCAAATGAGATCAAAGAACGTTTAGTCTAATCTTTTGATTTATATTTCATCAGGCTATACTCACTTTAGTAGCTACGCAAGGTGAATTTTTAGAGCTTCGCTCATACTACTCTTATTTATATATATGTTAAGACTCCACATCAGAAAGTAGCATATATGCAGAGTCTGATTCATGACATTGGCACATGGAAACTTCCAGAGCTCAGAGAGAAGTTTGAGACAGAGCTTTTAAAGAATACCATAAAAAGAAAAATTAGCAAGTAAAGATAATTAATTTTAAAGAAACTTCAGGTTTAGATTTATTTGAATAATATATGAACATGTTACAGTTTTTTTAATCAATTAAAATAATGTTATTTGGGCTGATTTTTAATATTTTTCTGCAAAAGTTAGAATTTACTTAAATGACTAAATAGAAGTCTCTCTTTTGGATTAACCACTCAGTGTTTTTCACTTTTCTGGATTGCTTATAATTTTTATAAGAGCTGACTACTTTTCACTGTAATTTATCTACCATTAGGAGATATCTAGAGATGATTTAAGCTCAATTTGCTAAACAGTTAGTATTCAAAAACATGCTAATTTCTTCTCCTTCTTTCTCTTTATAGTAAATAAAGTTTAAGAAGTGTTTTGTGTAGATAAGCATTTATCCAATTTCCTTTTTTAGCCTACTTCTCTCTCTCTCTCTCTCTCTCTCTCTCTGTCTCTCTCTCTCTCTCTCTCTCTGTCTCTCTCTCTCTGTCTCTCTCTCTCTCTCTATATATATATATATGTACGTATGTATTTGGAGAAATTCTAAATGCCTTCCTCTATCAAATAGTACTTGGTAACAAGAATAACATACCATACATCTGGGGTGACGGTGTCATTCTGGGATCTCCAAGTGTTCGTTTCATAAATGGCTTCTCCATTGACTTTTAGCCAGGTCCCCATTTGCCTTAATCGTTCCTCGAAAATTGGAGAAATGATGCCATCGTGTGTGGGCCCAATATTCATCAAAAGATTTCCTCCACATGAAACAGTTTGTACTAGTTCCTAAAAAATTAAGAATATAGTTCTTAGATAAAATAATTCCTTTGTCAATGTGTTAATATGTTACAGACTTAAACATGGATATATAGTTACTACCTAGGAGAACAAACATGGAAGACAGAAGAATGTCCTGTCTTTATAGGCCATTGAGCCTTACAAATTATAAAAAATTAATTCACACACCCACTCTATTAAGAATATTACCATAATAGTTATCAGACATTTTATTGTACCTTCACCAGTTCTTCAATTGTAAGATAGTCAGAGATTCCAGCATTCCTCCTATAGCCCCAGGAAAACTTGTCTATTGTCATGCAGTTTTCCCATTTATGTGGCAAAAGATATCCTGGGTTATAACGATCACTGCAGGTATAGTAGCCACCATGTTTACAGATGCTACCAGCTCCCCATCGGTCATTGGTGACTACTGTGTTCCCAACTGGGCTGAAATGAAAAGAAAAATTTTTATAAACAAAAAGTAAAGTTTTTTTTTTCTTTGCACAAAAGGAAATGTCACGGAAAAGAGATCTGACTGAAATCCACTCCTGAAAATTCACCATAGCCTAATATAACACAAAGTCTGTGGCTTTGAAGTCAAATAGACCTGGGTGGAATCCAAACCTGTCTCTGTCATTTTCTAAGCTTTTTACGTAAGTCCTCCAAATTATCAATTACTTCATCTATTATTAGAACAGAAATAACATATAAAACACCTAGTCCCGTCCCCAGCACATACAGCACTTATAAAAATATTGCACTATTATTTGAAGCTCCCTCCATATAGTGGATGATATAGCCAACACTGAATTTACAGTCAAGACTTTCTTCTTACCTGTGACTGAACTATCTTATATACATTCTAGCCTTTCTCTTTCTCTTATAATTGTGCCTAGTATTGAAAATTCTCAGGAAAGCCAACTGTGGCATGAAATAAGTCCACAACTTTATTTATCATAGTGGGTAGTGCCTCCTGCATCTCTGTACTTAGAGGGGACAGTTCTGATTCACAAATTTAAGTGGATGGCTCCCAATCTTTCCAGTTGGATGGAGTACCTGGAGAAATGCTATTTTAAATATCAAGAGCTCTCTAGAATATTTGTATGTGCACCCTTTGTGGGCCTAGAGAATACATGCAGAACACTCCCTGACTTCATAACACAATACTAAGTACCTTCTAGTTATGAATATAAATTTGTTCCATATAATTTATACCTCATAGAGGAGTTCAGTCGGAACTGCCTGTTCTAATGGGGCAAGCCAGAACATGCTAGAAAGCAATAGGAAATAGGAAGAGGTGAGAATGCTGACGATTAAGAAAATAAAGGAGACAGACAAGGAGGACATTGGGCAGCAAAGATTATCAAAAGGGTAAGAGGATAAAAAGAAGAAGCAATTAGAGGAATTGAAAAGCACAGAATCAGAAACAGTCATGAGTAAACAAGCGTTGTCCCAGAACAGGAGATGAAGATGGGGACCCACAAAATTAATGTCTTCAAAATTCTGGATTCCTTGATTTTTAGTCTGATTTCAAAATCAGACTATTGAGTTGTATTTGACTTCTGATTTGTATTTCTTGATTACCTTGAGTAAATACCGGCATATTCAATAAGCATTATTTATAATGATTTCTTCCCTTATACCACACATGGACATGAAAAGAAGTATTTCAAGAAGCAAAAGAATGAAATGGTATACATGTATTAGGCACGTTAAGGTCACTATAACAACTCTAACAGCATACATGCCTTTCATTGTACAGCCAAGCTAAGAAACCTGTGCTGTTCCAGTAGGAGTCTGGCGCCCCTCCATCGCCATCTGACCACAGGACCTCGGGCCGGTACTTGTTCACCAACTCGTAGAGCTCAGGTAACATCTTAAAAACTGGAAATTGTCGCTTCTGGAATGAGCTAGATTCATCGTCGAGGAAGAACGGATGAAACCACTCGAAAAGCGAATAGTACAGTCCAAAACGCAGGGAGGTCTTCTTCCTAATAGCTACCTCAAGTTCCTTAACGAGATCCCTCTTTGGACCCTCATCCACAGCATTCCAGTTCCACGAGTACTTGGAACCCCACAAGGTGAAGCCTGTACAATTATATTAAAAACTTATGTAAGCATATAGATTTTATTTTAGTAAATTTCTACCTGTACAAATGCCAAAAAGAAATTCGATCATGCACATGACATGTAAATAACTGCTTCTACCAACAACTGTTTTATGGCAATTTTTTTATAGTATGTATTCTGCTTTTATATGAGAATTTAAACAAGGTAGAACCGAAGTTTTAAATTTTATTTAATTTTATATTAGTTTCAGGCGTACAGCATAATGATTAGGCATTTATGTAATTTACAAAGTGATCCCCTAATTAGTGTAGTACCCACCTGGCACTACACATAGTCATTACAGTATTGTTGACTATATTCCCTATGCTGTAGTCTACGTCCCCATAACTATTTCATGACTACCAATTTGTATTTCTTCATCCCTTCACCATTTCCAGCCAGCCTCCCTTCAGGCAATCACCACTGTTTGTTCTCGGTATCTAGAGTCTGTTTTCATTTTGTGTGTTCATTTACTTTGTTCCTTAGATTCCGCATATAAGTGAAATCATATGCCGAGGTTTTTCAAAGTAACTCTCAGGGTACCCATAGGTCTGTATAGTCTGATCTATCTTCTGTATTTTCCTTCTTAGAATATAAGCTCCTTGACGAAACAGCATCATATCTGCTTGTTCTCTGCTATACCCCTCGCCAATTGCTAACACTGGGTCTAAAACAAAATCAGCAGTCAACATTAGCAAATTACAGCTATGATTAAAATATATTCCCTGGTTTTAAGATTATTTATTTTATTGTATGTGATTCTTAGATGTAAATTTCCGTTAAGCTCATTATTATGCAGAAACCCCTATTCCTCAGTAGTTCTGTATTTTAAAATACAATACTCATCATTTGTAATCTCCTCTTACTCTAAAGTCATAGACTTTGATATTGCTCTTTAAATTACCTAAAAGTGAATTATCTACCGACTAATGGGTAGGAAAAATAACATCTACCATTAAACAAGCACTTTGAAATAATTCATATTTAAAAGGAATTTGCATTTAGATTGCTAGTTGTTTTATATAAACATATTAGAAGCAATATATAAAATGAAATACTTAAGAAATCATGTAAAGCCTCAAAATTTTTAGTTAATGCCTAGGAACATAGGTATATTGTTATTATCCCACTGAAATCTAAAAGAATCTCTGAGAATAGACATAATACAAGGTGCTTTTGGTGAAACATTTTACTCCTGTAAATTAGGACAAGTGTAAGATGAACACACTCTTTAGATTCTTTTTTAAGAAGCTTTTTTTTTTTTTTGACCTTTGAGGTGAGATTTAATGTACATTTAGAGCCTTTAAAAGAGCTCACGCTTGTTCCAACGATGTTTGTGGTAAGCTTCAAAGCAGTGTAGATATTTAAAGTCTTATTCAAAATGTTTCAACTTGACAGGCCCTAATGTCCAGCAGGGCTAAAACCACATGGGTCTTCAGTTCAGTATCACCACTTGAAGCTTGCACAGCAGTCTTCCTGCTCAGCCAAGCTCAGCAGGGTCTTTTCCATAAGCAATGGAAACATCTGACAACATGGGTCCTAGAAAGTTTATAAATGTGAGCTTCATCATCTATCCTCACAGTGTGATTAAGAACTGTTTTGTTTTGTTTCTCAGTTAGCTCACTATATAATACTCCGTGCCATACAGTTTGGCACAAGTTCCTAGAGCAAGAAATCAACATGTTCACAAGCAAATACACTTCATAAATATTCATCTAAGCAGGAGAAACATATTAGGAGGAAATTATTAAGCCACTAGAATGTGGCCAAAGGGGAAAATGTTCTAAGATAATTACAGATTTGTGGTTTTGGTTCTTCCTTCTTATTCTCCTCCCCACTCTTAAAAACAGTGAGGCAAAATTTCTTATTCCAAGGCAAAGATGGTCATACAGAGGAAATTGTGAAATGACTTAATATGAAGTTAAGACAATAATAGTTTCTTGACATTTCTTTGATCTTATAAATACTGTAATGGTAATGGGTGGAAACAATTCTATTGACGTAGGACCACAGTGATGGCTAACTCTGTCTGTCAACTACACTGGGCCACAGGGTGACCAGATATTTAGTTAAACATTATTCCATGAGGGTATTTCTGCATGAGTGAATCATTTGAGTAGGTCGACTGAGTAAAGCAGCTTGCCCTCCTCAGTGCGGTGGGCCTTGTCCAATCTGTTGAAGGCCTAAATAGAATAAAAAGCCGAGTAAGAAAGAATTCTTTCTCTCTCCCTGTCCTTGAACTGAGTCATTGATCTTCTCCTATCTTTGGACTCAGACTTGGCTAGAACTTGCGGCATCTACTTTCCTGCTTCTCAGGCCTTTAGATTCAGACTGGGACTATACCAGAGCTCTCCTGGGTCTTGACTTCTTGGCCTCCATGAGTCAGTTTCTTGTAATAAATCTCTTTATATCTATTCTACTTTCTGTGGGTTCTGTTTCTCTGGAGACCCTTGACTAATACTTTCCTTTCAGATATTCCTTTCAGATATTCTTCCCCCATCTCTAATATTTCTGGGCACAATTACAGTTCCGGGGTCCTTTTCCTTTCAGGGGATCTGTGTCACTTTCAACACTAGCAAATTTTCCACCATTGGGCCATCTAAGAGTTGGCCAAAAGCACAGCCATGTGTGTTGGTAATGATGCAAGACTGCAATGGCATAACCCCCATGGTGCCTTCCCAGAATGCATTACAGATGTGGAATGAAAGTTAAGGAAGGAGTCTACGGCCAGGCCACCCTGAACGTGCTCAATCTCGTCTGATCCTGGAAGCTAAGCAGAGTCGATCCTGGTTAGCACTTGGATGGGAGACCACCTAGGACTACCAGATGCTATAGGCATTAAAAAAAAAGAGAGAGAGAGT